GTGTTCTGATTGACATAAGCTAAGGAGTTTGGTAGAGAGGCCCCCACACAGTCTCAAACTCACCAGGTGTCAATCCATTCTGGAAAACCTCAGTCATTTACATTTCCCTTCTACCAAGATTGATTTTCAGAGGTACCACCTACTTGAATGGTCCAGTATGCACCAGACACAAACAAATCTCCCTGGGTTAGCAGTTGCAGGCTGACGAATGTCATGGACCTTTTTAGCATTAGCAAAAGTCTCACGTATAGGAGAAACATTTCATAGACTCTACATCTATCCTGTACAACTATCTCTTTCTACTGGTAAACTGTATCTCTTGGTCAGGAATACTTCTATGTCCAGAAAATGCCATTGTTTTGTGAGAAGCATTCCTTTAAATTCAAGAGATTAAGCAAGAACTATTATGTATGTTGCTGTTTCATAAACTCCACAATAGATCCTGATCACATGACACCAAAATTTCTCCTTCCTATCTGCTTGTGGTCTTTTCAGGTCAAAAAATGACTTCCTGACAAATATCAAATAGGTAAACCCACAACTAGCAGCAGGTTTGATCAATAAGTATGAAAGTTATTCGGTGATTCATAACTTGATTGAGTTTTTTAAGTGTGAATTAATGAGACCAGAGAAATGTTAATAAATAAACAAACTTTTTTTATTATAACAGACAAACAGAAAGCACAGTGTGTGTGTGTGTGTCTGCACAGATGGAAGAAAGCGAGTTTACTTCTTGATTTCAGGTACGCTTTCTTGAGCCAGTTCTGCTAGTAGATTGTTGAGTGAAAACTTACTTTAAGATAATCTTGTTTAATTCGAGATTAAGAAACTTGCAGAGCTAAACACACACTCTGTGATTTGTCCAGTTGACAGTGTCACTTCGTGACTTTGTTTTTTCACAGAATTGGTAAGCTGATACATTTATTCAACATTAACCTGGCTAACAAAATTTAATACAATGTCAATCCTTTCAAGTATGATGCTATATGTTACTGCAATATCCTCACAGAAAGAATAAACATTAACTCCAATAGAAAACAAAGAAACAACACAATTAGAACAAGGCAATTACAATGGCTTTTGGACCCTGTGTTTGTATTGATTCTGCATACTCACCAAATAAACGAAAAATTTTCAAAGTTCCTATATGCCTAAAGTAAGTAGAAAACATAATATGGCTGCATATCACGCCTGTTGATGCCCATGCTTAATATTTTGTTTTGATCAGTACACACAATTAGAAATACACGAAAGGTAGTTACGCTAGCCATCCCTAATTTTGCACTGTTATATTAAAGAGAAGACAGCTATACAACAGCTCCCTCTTCCAACCCTTGAATTACTCTAATCTGAAAGTAGGATTTGACAGTCATTATTAGAGTGTACCCACGACTTTTCGTTCTTGTTCTTTTTCTTCTTTTTTTGTGGTAACGAAATATGCAAATTTTGGATCCACAGTCCGGTATGTTAACTTCTAGGTCATGCTTAAGCCCATTCATCGCCTAAAAAGAATGATGTTTATGAATAATCTCATAGAACATGTAATTGTTGATAGATAAAGTTTTCTTATTCTCTTTTTATTCAGTTTAGAACATGTTTATTTTCGAATTATTAGTTTTGTAATTCCTTTCCTTTTAGTTGCTATCCCTAGATATTTTACATTTGTACTCAGTGTGGATCATTTGTTTTGTTTGTTCTTGATATACAAACAATGTTACACAAGAGCTATCTGCATTGCAAGCTGATAGATTAAAGAGAAGGCAGATAGTAAACATCGCCTACAACATCTTGGATTACTCTTGTCTGACTGCATTTGAGATTTACTGTCAGTATGATAACACATCCACGACCCCTCCCCATTGGCTCAGCGGCAAATCTGAAGACTTGATGTTTCATTTGGTCGTTGTTTGGTCATATGGCCTGGGAGGATCAGGTACACCTACATCTCTATCTCCCTCCTTGACTACTGATTTGGTTCTTGAGTGTTGAATGAAGCCCACGTTAACTATTCAGTAGAACACAGTCCAGTAGCTAGGAAAACTCGTTCTTACATCGTGCAGTCTCTGCATGCGCATAGCAATAGTTCAATCGCACATGCAAGTGACCCTTTTCAGGCCATGTCCACGAATGTATAAAGTCGATTTTTCTGATATAAACTCCTCTTTTTATATTCATTGTCAACATAAAGTTTTGTTAACATAAACAGTTCCATAAATATCAATTGAAAACATATATCACTAATCCTATTTTGGCATAAATAAATCATTTTAAAATAAAATTAACACTATATCTAGCTACCGGTTTGCCCAGTAGTAGGTGGCCATAGATTGCATAAGGAGTTTACTAGATTTAGTGGTGAGAGGTACTTAGATCTATTATCATCATGTATGATACAGTTTACAGCATTTGTAATGATTTATTTTTGTTAAGATTTTTGCGAAAGTAGTCTATTGATCTATTTTGAAGTCTGTCTGACAACATGGGGTTGTTTGCGTAATTAGGTAAAAATGTTGTGTTTGTGTATCTAGGAACTCTGTATGTTTAGTGTGATTTGGTTACATTTAGCCATGCTGGGCAGACATACTCTGCCACTGGGCATGTAAGTTTTATATATTTAGAGTATGTTTTCTGCTTTTGCGCCCCTGTTGTTGCCAGTCAGATGTTGTGCGTAACTGGCTCGTTGCCAGATTTTATTTCTGAATTCATTTATGTATTTAGTCCAATTTGTATATTTGTGTTTAACAACAAACAAACACATCCATGGTCCAACTTGCAGAGTGCGATTTCTTAAGGCAAACAGAGGCGAACTATCAATCCTCAGATCCACAGTTATGTTTTATTTTGGTAATTTTTAGTTATACTTCTGCGTAATATATGTATATAAATCAAAAACATTAAAAAAGACTTAAAATGAAAATTAATTTTCCCTTACTAGTTCTTCTGTCATCATTAAAACTCACAACGGATATTGTCTGTGGCTATAACAGTCTATCTATATACTACTAAAACTCTGAGATTGTTTGTGTGTTTGCTTGTCTGTAATTAAATACAGCAAAAACGGCGCACAATACCGCCATATTAGTAATGAAATGAGAATAGAAACAGAACAAAACAAGTTTCGTTAACATCGGCCACGGGTTACCGAGTAAGCCCCGTTTTTGGTGTCACTTTTCGTATATTCCATTATTATAAAAATTCATTTTCCACCTCATGAATCACTTTAAAATATCTTCTATACAACAATATATGTACTGTTGCGTCAGCGAGGTCACGTGACTAGTATCACGCCACGTCCTTCTCGAACCTTCGTGAATTGTCGGGAAACTACTAGATTGGGGGTAGC